TTACAACCGATCGTGTGGCAATCGCATGCAGTCACTTACACCGCTATATAACTCGTGGCGATACCAAAATGCGTAAAAGAGAAAATGTTGTGACGTCATCGAATCAATGTTTAGCATAGCTTGCTTGAGGATTTGATCATATTAAGGTTATGTGTCGAACGTGTATTGTTGGTTCTAACTTTTGTTTGCCATTCGATATTTTGTTTAAAACAGCACCTGAATAAATCTCCGTCAACTGATTGGTGGGTCATTGATCACGTGTCCAGTAGACATCGGGGTTTCAAAAAGCTTTTATGTCTTTAGGTTACTCCTTATCCACAAATTCTTGAATTTCTGCTACGCTTTCTTCCCAAGTGACCACAAAAATGAAATGTAGCAACTAAAGGTATTCACACTGACCTTTATATAACGACCGGAAGGCACACGAAAGCGCTCCCATTATCGTGCACAAAGAGGTGAAACTTCACTAAGTCTTGGCTGCCATTTTCATTGATCACCAATAATAATATTGTTGTGTTGATTAGTAACAATGGATGCAAAGAGGACTTCGTCTCACGTGGCGATGGGGGTATTTTGTGTCGATGGTTCTAGCTTATAATTGTCGTGGGTTTGAGTCCTCCCCGAGCAAGCTGATGTTTCTCTTCCCTCGTATGGTATTGGATTGTATACTGAGTATAACAAATCCAATCCTGCGTATCCCAATGAAACAAAAGCACTTACCTCAAAGATGGCTGCAGTGCAAAAGATCCATACAGCGAGCTGTTATTTCCAAAATTATCAAACCGCGCATAGTACATGTATATGATTTAACTAATGAACCACATACAGGCCCGGATTACCCAATAGGCACAGTAGGCACTGTGCCTAGGGCCTACGAAAAATTTGGGGGCCTACGAAAAATTTGGGGGCTTACAAAAACTTTGGGGGGGGGGGGGCCTACGAATATACCGCAGTGTGCCATAAAAAACATAGGCCTACCCATCCAAACACCCAAGCGCAGAGAACAGTTTTTACAAAAGTTTTAGGGTCTCAGAATTTTCGAGTTCACCAACTGACGCTGTACAGCATGTATGCATAGGCCCTACGTATAAAATGTACGTGTAAAGTCTGTCATTCCGAAGCACGGTGCCAACAATGGGCGTCGATCGGTGGGGAACGGGGGACATGTCCTTCCCCAACGATTTTTGTCCCTGAATAAAAAAATGTAGCCTACATTTAATTTTATAGCTCAGAACAGCTGATTTTATGACTCCAAACTCAAAAAAGACGCTTAAATGATGATCTTGTGCTAAAACTTTGGCAGTCGTCAGAAATTGCCTCAGATCGCACCACAGCGCTACTATAGAATCAAATTTTCTTCAGGGGCCCTGAAGCGGGCCCCGAACCCCACGCCGTTTAGGCTTCGCAATCACATAATTGGTACTGAACAAGATATACATGTATGTACCACCCTCTCTTTTGAGAAGATTTTTGAACGTCCACGGCCGGGCTTTGGGCACCCCCCCCCACTAGTTCGCCGGTACAGATTTACGCCGCTGGCCGTCATTGCACTCACATCTTCACGATTCTAATCATGCTACCGGCTGACGTTAAATTGACATTGTATTATAATGGCATCATTCCCTAGACTTAGCTTAAGTACAAGAAAAGATGAATTTTCCCAAGTACGCTGAGGGAGCTGTATTAGAATCAGACAAACACAATTCCCTCGTAAATATTTGTAAACGGGTCAGTAGTTTGATATAAATATAATGAGGTTAGGGAAACTTGCTAGAATTTCACTCAATCAGCGCAATATGGCATTGCCGGCCTTAAGTAGCGCGACGCGAAACGATAAGACAGAATGAGGACGAGCTTGGTAAGGTTAATTGCTCGCAGTGACTCTGAATAGTCAACTGCTCGGTACTTAAGAATGATAAGAAAAGACTTACGTAACAGCATTCATGCGTATATAGCGCGATGCTGATGCATCTTTCGTGCAGCAATGAAACACAAAGTAACTCTCCCACTGCGGAAACAAGTATTATGTTCTAAACGCAAAGAGTAAAGCACCTACTGAAACAGCCTAGTTGTTAAGCTGTCTGACAGCGGACCCAGGGGTTAGGGGTTCGAACCCGCATGGTGTCATTTTTTGGTTTTCGATGCCCGCGCTTCTGTCATTTAAGAGTGTTAATTTCCCGTCGTCATTTACCAACAGCAGTTAGCTCGGTCGGTCGGTAAGCTGACTCACAAGTTGGGACTGTCTGCGAAGTCCAGGTTGGCGTCTGCGTACAGGTACGGGGTTCTTTTGCTGACTCGGCAGCAAGGCTTAGGGTGCCACCTCGTTTCCTCCCTTTATGGTGCCTGACTTTCGAGTTACATGGATGGACAGGGAAGGAGGTGTGGTGGGCCGGGTACCGAGACCCAGAAGAGTTCTATATGGAAGTCGGTAAGGGGCTCATTGAGTTAGGGTCATAAGTCCGACTCCTGAAGACTTGGCTATCGCCACATAACTTTTTGTTTTATTTTCTTTCTTTTCTATTGGAGGACGATTGCAAGAAGATTAATTTGTTATATTGAGATCTTGCAATTGTACTGTAATCGTTCGAAATTAATTTTTAGAATTGCTCGAAAATACAAAATCCAATCCAGCTATGATGTTTTTATTTCATTGTCGCAAAACTGCATGTACATGCTCAGTACCTTTGCGCATACCTTATTCAGGCCTGTTCCCTAATCCCAGACTGCGGGGGGGGGGGGGGGGGGTCTTCAAATCCTATAGAGTGGAATTGTTTTATATGCGAGCGCGAAGCCCTGAAGTTGTGGGGTCTGGGGACGCTTAAGAGCCCCGGGAATTTTTTTTGGATTGCACATGCTCTGTTACGCAAATATCAAAATTGTAGCTTAAATCCCTATCGAAAAATGCCCTCGTTATATTGAGACGTCACTAATAAGAATCAGCTTAATTCGTAACTGCCTGCGAGCGAGCACGTGCTTGTGTTTTGCACGGCTGTAGCTGTCAACCCCCGTATATGAAGCGACTTCGCGCGGCAGCTTGCGCCGACATGGCAGAATGTACAATCTTTTTGCCATGGGTTGCAGAACCTAATTTTAGCTATGCGGAGTTTTGAGCAGCGGTGTTTATTATTTACATTCTCCACTTTGTTCTTATTCCCTCTTCCTTTCCCCTTTCTTCTCCATTCTTCGGAACACTGTTGCCTATAGGGCCTACGAAACACTTAATCCGGGCCTGGCCACATAATGTATTGAAAAGAATCAAGTACTAAAATGCCTCTTTTTAGTTGGGTGTGTTCAAAGTCTGTATAGGAGTTTGTAACATTTTAAAAAATTTTCTAATAAATTGAAATATCGGTTTTCAGTTTCCATTTCACTATTCTACTCATTTTGATCAATTGACTTCGGTAGCAGCACAATCCAGAATAATGCGGCCCCGTAATAACGATTTAATCAGTAATTTTCACGATAGGGACGTGTGCAATTTTGTTCTGCAATACGCGGTCAATGAAATGAAATTGTTTTCTTCACGGCACAGTCTGCCTGCGTCGAAAACTTTGACATTTCGCGAGAACGATGGGTCGGATTGTTTAATTGGTTTGGAAACATGCGTAAGAGGAAAAGAACGTGCGGCGTGAGATCGGAAACGGATGCAGACTCCGGAGAGGGGGTGGGGATGAAGGGGGGGGGGGAAGGGTCGAAGGAATTCCTTCTCTGGATCTTCTCAAGACATGGTGCACAATGGCAGCGGTGTATATACCGTACGATTAGGAGAGGATGGGGCGACATTTTACCAGTTTTGTTAGCTGTTTTTTTTTTATTATTGTGAACGATTAAGAAACATTTGGAAGTATTCGCACTTTTAAACATCGCCATCTGGTTAGAATCTAAGCTGACGTTTGGCATGGACGAAAATACATCTTAAAGAAAGCATGTGGTCCCAGACCCCAGTAGCTAGAAATGACAGTATATCACAAACAAGGGCAGATCGGGGGAAGGGGGGGGGGGGGGGCAAGGGGGCCATGTCCCCCAAGAAACGAGCCCAGTTGTTTGTTTTTAAGTGACGTGGCACAACAAGGCGGCCCGTGACTGCGAACACCACCATCTTTTGCTCGAAAAATTGGTTAAAGTGGTCAAAAATTGCCTCAGAGCGCACCACAGAGCATCTGAAATCCAAAGAAAATGGGGGCCCTTAAGCGGGCCGTCAACCCCACGCCGTAAAATTGTGGGAACCCCTTTTTGGGGGGGAAATTGTTTTTTTGGGGCCCCCATAAAGTGTGTTCTGGATCCGCCCTTGATCACAAAGAGCTATTAAATACACAAAGAATGATGGCGGGGTAAACCATACTAATTTATTTACCCATTTTCCACAGGGTTAAGAAATCCTACACCCTACTCTAAAACAAGGAACACAAGGAAATTAAAACCATTGATCAGAAAGCTTAGTAAGAATAGGAGTCCGACACGAACCGTTTCTTCATCAATGGCTTCACGCATGCGCAGACTCCCGTCCATTCATTGAGTGGATATCATCGGGGGTCTGAGTTAATGATCCTCCTTTCGCTCACATCCGCAGTAAAATGTCAGGGAAAAGTCCATTCTCGTCCAGAGGTCTTATACAAACACACACACGCCCCAGACTGCGGATTCCTGCCCGGTGATAATCGAGGAGATAATAAATCAAGAATAATTTAATCGGAACCATTACTTATTAACGACCCCAATTACTGTTAACTTACGGACGTCAGAGAAACAAACGGAAGATTCATTCATTTCGTTTAACCAATCGTTTCCCGGCAATTTCTAAAAAGGACATGTGTATTGATTCTGACGTCTCCTTTCAACCAGCCTTCATCCCATCATATATACCAGAACGAAAAAAGGTCCACCTCTCATGAAAAATGGATTTTCCTCCCGTGGCCGCGTTGCTAGGCAATCCCTATGACGACACCGGGCTCTGCTCCACAATTGTAATTTGCCCGCGTTTTTTCCCCCGCATCTCCGTGATGCCAGTCCGTTGGCCACGCATGATGCACAGCCAGTACACAGAGGTGGACGGCTCGTTTATGCATAATTCATGTGCGCCAAGACGGAAAAACCATTGACAAGCGAACCGCGTAAGGAAAATCATGGCCGAAACGATGGTTGCATAGTCAAGGAGAATGCGTTTTTCTTTTTCTCTCGGCTCGCTGGAAGATCTGGCCGCATCATCCCTGCTTCTCCTATAGGAGAAGGAGCAATTCATCATCCAATTCATTCTCGCTCCAAAAAAAGATATTAAAGAAACCCTGAAATAAGGGATTGGTATTTTCACAAGGTGTGGTTATTTTTTGTTAGTTTCTGAGATCGGCAGTTCGAGAAATCATCTGTTGGTTATTTCTCAGGGACGACAGATCAGAGACGTATAGCACCACTCGTGTTGTTTGCGTAGCGGTTCGGACTCTAGATACAGTCGTGTATACACAAACACACGCGACGAAAGCTAAGGTGGCAACAAGATGGCGAAGCGGCATCTCCTGTCCGCCGACATTCCGTGCCTTACGACCGTCGCCGTCTTGGCCGCCGTCCTGCTCCTTGCTGCTCTCCAATCCACGGCCGACGGGATCTCGGATGAACTGATCGCCAGATGGAAGGAAGAGGCTAGGAGGCAGCAGCAGCAGCAGGAACAAAACGGCAAGTTTGACGAGCGAGACTTGGGCATCATGACCATGAATATGGAGGTAGAATACTCCCCAACATCAAAAGAGGTACAGTGATCAATTTTGTTTTAAATCTTACCCAAGGAGAATTAATTTTTGTTTGCATCCGTCTTGTTTCCAAAAAGCAAGGCTGAAACTAGTAGCCAGACAGTTCAGAGTGAAAATTACTTTAATTCTAATTTGAAATACTTTAGAAAAGAATACTTCAAGTTATCTATTCGGTTAGGGTGAGTCAAAAACAAAGGGACCAAATTAGAATTTGTTTTTAATATGGCTGGCTCTATTTCATAAAAGTAACATAGAGATGAAGAACATGTTATTGACCAGTAACTGTGAACATTTCACTAAATGTGCATACTCTATTCCCATGTTTTGACTATTTTAATAACACTATCACAAAATTTAGCTGTCCACCCCTAATTTGCCGTTCTACGAAAGGACAAATACCCATTAAATACAATGAAACATCAACGTTTTCCCGTCTTCATGAAGGAACCCCCCCCCCCCCAAGGAAAACAGACAAAAATCACCTTCAATATTTCAGAAATAAAAGAATGGAATTGTTCCTCAAATGCAAAACACAAACTCTGACAGTAAAAATAATGTATCAGTCTTGGCTCAAATGACACAAACGTGTTCCCACCTCCATGAATGAACGAAAACTTGAATAGGAAAACAGATAAAAGTCGCCATCAATATTTCAGGGAAAACAAAAGAGTGGACTTGTTCCTCAAATGCAAAACACAAACTCTGACAGTGAAAAGAATGTTTCATCTTGACTCAGAATGATTAAAATCCCTTTTGTAGTTGACTGCGTATGTCTAATCTGTAATTCTCACTCAGCCCAATCACTTGCAATGGCATTCCATTGACAACTATAAAAAAAAGTTCTTTTAGTAAGACATAGGCCTACGTAATCTCCGATAGGATGGATCAATTTAAGTAAATTCTTTTTTTTCCAGACAAGTGGAAGAACATGCTCTTTTAAGACATGCTTCATTCGTACATTACATTTTAAAGAAAAAAAAATAATCCAGGTCACATTCTTTTTGACTCACCGTGTAGAAAGCTGGATTAATAGTCTCGTCCCTATTTTCAGTTGGATGGAGTGAATCTTTACACTCTAAAAACTGTTTAAACCGTGTTTAGTAATTCAACACAATCTTGCTATCACTTTGTAAACATTAAATGTTCAGTTCCTACACATCAATGTTCAATTGCTTAACACTACAGGCATCCTTACTCTAAACATGTTTAGTATTTAAACATGTTTACAAACTGATAGCAAGTGTGCAAGTGTTTAGAAATGTGTTTAATTGCTAAACCTAGTTTTTGCAGTGCTCTCTTTGGAAATAACAGAGAAATTTTTTTTCTAACTGAAAAGATTAACTGAATCCACAAATAATCAATATAAATGTCGATGCTGTAATAGAAAATAAAAGATTACCGATGATAGGAAACTAAAGTCGTTGTTACATCTTACGAAACGAAAGTAGGAATAACGAGAGAAAATGTAGTAACTGCCGTATTTATGGCATTACGAAACAGATATGTTTTTTTAACGGATAAACCCAAATATTGGGCCCAAATACAATCCAAGATACACAAATATAGAAAAAAAACCCACAGTAACCAAATAGATAATACAAAGATATACACAGATATTTTGTAATATGTACCGCCCTTGCAAAGCAATTTTTCAAATATCTATATCAACATGGTTGAAACCAGTTTGATAAAAGATGGCATCTGCCCAGAGGGCCAGTCTGACTGACTGGCCGACTGACTGACTGTCATCTGCTCCAGGATAAATGAAGTTCTCCTACATATTTTCCTTTAAATCGGGTTTTTCATTCTTTTGCTAAAATACCCGATAATGTTATCCATGATACTTCTGATATTTGTAGGGTGGATGTTGTCTCCTCCAATTATCGTAAACAACTACCTATAACTGTTAACTCCCTTCCTGAAAGTCTGAGAAATGAATTTGAATCCAAGAAGCTTTTGCTTAGTCATCTTAAAGAGTTTTTTTTGGACAAGTATTCTTTGCACTAACGTAACATGTTATTCATGTTTTAATGCAGCAGGGCATTAATGTCTTCTTTTTCGTTAAAAATTTATTAGTCGACTTAGGGATAGCATATTATTTATTATTATGCATTTTCACATGCAATAGTTCTGTTTAATACTATGTATTAACTGGATGTTACCAGTTTGGTTACAGGATGTTACACCCATTTGTACCTTATTACAACAATGTATTAATTTTACTTTGGTCTTTATATCTACTAGTATATAGTACAGATGGAAATATAACAAACCAACAAACAAACACCCCAATAAACAAACAAACAAAACAAACAGACAAATTTGTGAGCCGGGCAGTGCTACCGTATAGGATTACCCCGTAACGCCGGTGAATGGCCTAAGTCCGACACCGATGTGTAGATCCGACGCTTGAAAAGACTTCCAGTGAATAGTCATTCTGAATCAATGTAATAGAATTCTGTGTACTCTAGGAGTTTTACTTGCTTTAGCTTTGGAGTTATTACGTTGAGTTATGAAATAATATATTTAAAAATTTCCAATTAATTACTGATCCGTTAACTGCAAAACGACCCCAATCAAATCCTGCATGTATTCAAAGGGATACAGACGCCCAGATATAGGGGGAAAATCCATTTTTTTTGTTCGAGGCAAATTTCAAAGGTCGGGCATGAAGTGTAGAACAATTTAAGACAGAAACGAGACAAAACACGGAACCGTTACAAAATAACGATGGAAACAAGGAATAAAATCAGACTCAGAACAAATCAGATTCAGACTCAGAGTCATAACTAGGCCTACATGAACAATGTGTATCTTAGGCCTTGCAATGACGATCAAAGATTTCCAATTACTCCAGGTAGTGACCCTAATCAAATGTCACATCTTAATTACTTTCAAAATGGCATTTACACAATCGGTTGATTTTCAAAAGATGAGTTCCCTTGAAAACAGTTTTTAATCCGCACCAGGACAGGCCTTCACAAAATATAATGCCATTCATATTATGATATCATGTTTGCTGTCATTTCGAAATTTCTGAAACTGTTGTTCATAATTTTCTGCTCAGAGAAGGCTCACATTCGTGTAAGCACGGAAGATGAAACTACTTATACTCGCTGTACAAATGTTCGTGAATATTGAATGACCACTATAAAACTATAACACCCCATTTACTGCACAAACGCATGTGAATATCAAATAACATCGAACTAACAACACTTCTCTTTTCTGAACAAAGGTGTACGTCTGAATATCAGATATACGGTATCAAACTAATTGGTTATTTGCTGCTGACCCACTATACATACAATACATACAGTTGTTTCCAGTAACAGTCGACATAGGCCTATTGATAACCCAATTCAATAAATATTTTAGTTGTTTTTTGTTGTGGGGGGGGGGGGGGGTCGTCATGCACGATCCAGTATAGCAAAATATTCTTATGAAAATATATTATATATTAATTGTGTGTAGTGCACAGCCAAACAAAACATTGTTTGACCCCAGTGAACAGAAAAAAAACTCAACAACAAAATAACAACAACAACAACAACAACAGAATAACAACAACAACTAAGTAAAACCCAATTAAAATGCTCCTAAATCCCTTTCAAATGTGTACACACTAATATGTTTAAAATATATCAAATGAATACACGAGACTACCTTATAAAACAATAAGAAAACAGAGCATACTGTTTGCAACGCTGAGTTAACACAACTGGTTCTTCTCGGAATCACACAGCTCAAAAGAAATATCATTCACATGGTGTGACCGCAAACCTCCCATTCACTGATCATGTCCACCATGCAAACCTTTACGTATCAAACAAGGAATCTATTTATTCCGCAGCGATTAAATTATTACAAGATGCCATCATCAAATAATAAACACTCGGGGAGTCCCCTTGCTCTGAATTAACTTGTCATCATCCAGCTTGCTAGCTGTCAGCGACGATCCTTCATGTCTTGCAGTAAATGTAGTTCGAAATATAAATATTGAATTATTTGCCCTCCATCAGGAGCCTTCAGTGGGAATTTACGGTGCGTGTGTTGAGGTATCGTGCATCACCCACGGCTATACATAATGTACGCTTTACTGCCCATTCCACAACACGGTGTCGTGCGCATTGCGTGCGTCAAGACTTCAGTGATGTTTTCATCATAAGGGCATCCCTTTTTAATTATTAGTCTCCCGTTTTCGACCGTCCCTATTTGGGCTCCCGACCCCAGGAAAAAAAAGATCTAAAAACAATCAAATCCAGGCAATAAGACCTAGTGTTATTTGAAAAGCTATGGGAAAAAATCGCGGTGTATAATAGCATGCAGTGCATTCTCCGAAGATGCGAGGGTGTTGCCTCTCATCAATATCAAGGGTTTATAGTTTCCTTTTACTGTTTTGTCATGGCTGCCACTATAGGCAAAATGTTAGTTAACTTCAGTCGTTTCCAATAATAACACCACTCAAATTCCAAAGAAGAATGTTAAAAACCTAACCTGTTAAAGTTTCACTTAGAGCTCAGTGGATATTACACTTTTGAGGAAACAGGGACAAACCGTGCAAAACCGTGCACAACCATTAGATTACATTTCGTCGATAGCACTCCGTATAACCAAGTCAACTACATTTGCCAAAGATGGGTTACTTTCTTTGTTCAGTGATATCGACTCATGATAATCTCAATGCAATAAACAAAACAAGAGACAAGGCATCATATAATTTAGCCATCGATGCGGGCGCAAGTGAATTTTTTTCCTCTTCAGATGTTTCTTTTTCGCCCACCGACCGATCCTACTGCAACGACAAACCACGAGAACCATAGAAATAAAAAGGGACGCCTTACTCTTCAGTACACCTTGAATTGTTTATATTGAAAATAACGCCATTACTCCGGACGTGGAATCTTTATTATAGGCCTAATAATTTATTTTAAGCTTTTCTTTCCCTGAATCTTTAACGATGGGATGGATTGGAATAAACCGTGAGTTTTGAAATCTGA